TTGACTTGATCTGCTTGTCTTTTTATGTAATAAGCCTGTACCTCTTAGGAAAAAAGAGGTTGTCCCCACCTCTCTGTATGTATGTATGTATGTATGTATGTATGTATGTATGTATGTATTATGTATGTATGTATGTATGTATGTATATCTATATATAACAAAACCATTTATGTAACACGCGCGAGCGCGCGCGCGCGCGTGTGTGTGTGTGTGTGTGTTGGTTTTGAGACAGGGTTTCACTGTGTAGCTCTAGCTGTCCTGTAACTCACCCTGTAGACCAGGCTAGTCTCGAACTCAGAGACACACCTGCTTCTGCCCCCAGAGTGCAGAGATGAAAGACGTGCACCATCACCTCCCAGCACCTGCCAACTTCTAAGTACATCTATCCCAAGCACATATTCCCACATTGGGAAATGACTACAGGATAAGTTCAGGAATCTATTGGACCTACTGTGACTTAGACTTCAGTGAAAACTCCATTAACCACCTGACTCTATAACCCCTTATTTTACCTGGAGGACCACAATGAATCTTGGGGTCTCCTGGAAAGCATCCAATAGACCTCAGAAATTCTGGATATTTCCTTTCCCCCAGTGTATGGTTGCCTTTGTAAAAGGTCATAGATTTCTCTGGGGAAGGACCAGAGAAAGACTAACAGTAAAACTCCTAGGCATTTAGCATAGTCCTTCCTCAGGGGGACCTGGCATTTCCTTAACTCAAGGGGTTCTGGGTTTGCAGAGTGTCTCAAGTCTGAAAATTAATTCACAGGCCAACATTCCCTTTTACACAATCCAATATAGCCTTTCTTTTGTATGAAAATTTTTCTTACACAGATCAAACAAAAAATCCAGCAGGCTTCTTATCTATTTCATGCCTGGTAACACCACGATTGATTAGCCAGGACTATAGGAGTCAAGCCACTATAAAAATCACTTTGCCTATGCTGACCATTACAGGTCAGGCCATTATGGACATTGTTTTGTCTATGCTGCCCATTGGGATAACTACAATGACCTTGCCTATGATGATTCAGTGCTGCCACCTGGTCCCTGCTACTTTGGGGCCCGATTAAACCCATTGCATTTAATTCAGCCAATTGAGCAGCAGCATCTCCAACTCTAAGGTCTGGCCTAAGGAAAAGGGCAACAGCAAAGCTCTTCAAATGTGCTGATGCCCCTTTCACCATTTTGTGTCTTATGGGGTTAGTGAAAGTGTGTCTTCTGGGCCTTCCCCTTGTGACCATGTACCTACCCTAACATTGCTATTTCCCTGAGCCTTCAAATCCCTTCATCAACACTAAGCCATGGGATATCAGGCATCTCCAATTCCTCTGCAGTAGGCCATCTTTTGACAAATGCTTTGGCCAACCATTTAAACAAACTTTTGATACTTTTTTTTTTAACTTTGCAAGCTTCCATATTGTTATGGGGTCCACTTGGAGCCAACACAACTCACACACCAAGTCAATGCAGATGACAAAAGTTTAGTGTAATCAAGCTACTACTGATGGATCAGGGTTACAGAACTAATCTGAAGTCAGAATGTTACAGAGTGTTTAAGCCTGAAAACCACAAACATCTGTGCCAAGTCACAGTTACATTTTCCATGAGTCAGGATTTGGGGATAGGGGAACATTGTTCCGTGATACACTTATCTTGTTCTCATTGGCTGGTTTACTCAAGTATGTCAGGGTGGCTTGCCCACCATTCATGTTTCAGCTTGCCAACTAGGATTTCAGTAATGTCAGTTGCCCAGGGGTGTCTGTGGAGGTCATGGGAACTTAAACTTTATTTGACCCTTATTCAAAATGAAAGTTCTATCTGAAATGGCTTTAGTTTGGTTCCTTCTTACAATAATAAACCTAGAATCTCCACTCAGTGGACCCATATCAATAAACTCAGCCTGATCCGATTTTATGTTCCTTCCACCATTATCCCACACTCTTAAGATCTATTCCGACACATATTCCCAGACTTGTGCTTGAATGAATTAGCAAACTCATTAAGCTCTTTTCCAGTGTAACACACCTCCTCTTGGACTTCACTTTCTACCTCCCCACTAGGATCTTGCTTTGCCTCTGGGTCTAGAGGCAACTGTTGGTAGGCCCTAAGGGATATCAATATTGTCTTGTCTGCCATTTCCTTCAGGGAAAGTCACTGCTGGTTTAGCAGACAGTAGAGGATTAATTTCCTCTATTAAATGTGGAGAGGACAATATTTCAGGGGGCGGGAATACATCTGCTGAGGGTGGAGAGACTACTTCCTCAGGTGAGATGAACCCTTGAGAATCTGAAGACTCAAAGTTCTCTGCTTCACACATCTCCATCCCAAGATACAGGATCCCATTCTTTATCAATTAACACCCTTACTTTAACCATTGACACCCTCTGAGGCTGGGGCTTGAATTTTCAGTGTAATTCAGCCAACCTTACAGTGAGGACTTCTGTTTGATTTTTTTTTACAACTTGAGCCCTGTGGCAGTGGGAGAGAAAGTTCTCTTCCAGGGTGCACTTAGAAACCTGTAGAGTCTAAAGTTTAGACTGTTTATGTGCATCTGGAGGTGGTCAGTTTTATCACAGAGCTCATTGCTGTCTTCACTGTATTCTGAGATGCTAGAAGTTGATTAATGTTATCACAGAGATATAGGTATAATTTTCTGTCCTGTAAGCTAGCTCCCAAATAACCACACAGAGACTTATTATTAATTATAAATACTGGGCAAATAGCTTAGGCTTGTTACTAACTAGCTCTTACAACTTAAATTAATCCATATTTTTATCTACATTCTACCACATGGCTTGGTACCTTTGCTCAGCACAGAATGTTCATTTTGCTTCTCCCCTCACCTCCTGGTGACTCCACCCTTCCTCATCCCAGCACTCTGTCTCTGTCTGCAAGTCCTGCTTAGCTATTGACCATTTAGCTCTTTATTAAACCAGAGAGCAATAGGTCCTCACAGTGTACACAAACATTATTCTACAACACAGAGCTTATTCTTTGCCTTTGTCAGTTTATCCCAAAGATGCTACTACCAACTAACCAGCATCATTACTTTCTTTATTGTTCCACAATTTGCCAAGTTTTATATACAGAATTACAAAATTCCTTTCCTCTCACAATTGGTGAATCAGGATAATCAAACTCATTTGTCTCAATACATTTGTGAAATAGTTCACACCATGGACTTTCAGTACTCTCCAATCTTCTAGGAGAGGCTTTATTTTTTAATTTTTTTATTTAGGTTAGAAACAATCTTGTTTCATATGTCAATCCCAGCTCCCTCACCCTCTCCTCCCCCCCTTGCTCCTCGCCAGGTCCCCCAGTCCTCCACCCAATCTCCACTGTGATCCCCAGGGAGGGTGAGGCCCTAGGAGAGGCTTTATTAAATGTAGGTGTCAGTAGGTTGGAAAGTCTATTCCAGGTACTTAAACTCATCCTGATACTTCTGTTATTCTAGCACCACTCCCAATATCAGAATTTGTGTTAGGGTTTTCTAAAGGAACAAAACAGATGGATGGTAGACTGACAGATAGAAGACATAAGTAAATATTTATCTATATAATAAACAGGATCTATTAGAGTAGATTACAGGCTGTAGTCCAACAATGGCTGTCTGACAGTGGAAGGTCACAATATCCATTTGTTGTTCAGTCCACAAGGCTGGGTGTCTCAGCTGGTCTTCAGTAAATGCTGGGATCCCAAAGAAGCAGACTCTAATGCCAGTGAAGGAATGGTTACCAGGGAGAGTAGGGACAAGCAGGCAAGGAGCAAATGCGCCCTTCTTCCGTGTCCTTTATATAGGCTGCCACCAGAAAGTTGGCCCAGATGAAAGGTGGCTCTTCCCATCTCAGATGATTCAATTGAGAAAATAGTCCCTCACAGGTTTGCCCAGACCTTGGGTTTTAGTTAACTCCAGGTGTAGTCAAGTTGACAACCAAGAACAGCCATCACATGTATGCATCTTAGGGAGCCAGGAACCCAGCTCTTCTGAGTTTGCCAGTGTTTCCCCCCAAATGCACGTTCTTTCTGGGACCTCAAAATGTGATCTTACTTGGGGGTAGGTGTGGTTAAGACATGTATGAGGTCCTATTGGAGTGTGGTAGGCCCTTAGTCCAATGTGACTGGTCTTGTAAGAAAAGGAGAAACAGAAAAACACAGGGAGTGCCAGTGAACTGAGCATGGGTAGAAGTGAGGTATCTGAGAATTGATGCTGGCAATTTCCAAGGCTAAGACAGATGCACACAGGCTCCCTGGTGCACAAGTACCTGAGCTACAGACTTCTGACCTTTACTGTGAGACAGTACATTTCTGTGGGTTTCAGCCATGTAGACTATATGGCCGTTCTAAGAATTGAACACAACATATGTGTTAGTGGATTGAAATATCTTAAAAAGTATACATGCAAGAAAATAGACATTGAAATACATAGATAAAAGGCCAACATAAAAATCTTTTGAAATATTTTTACCTTTTACTCTTGTGTATGTGTGTGTCTATGTGTAAGGTGTGCTCAGGTGCATGGGGGTGTCTCAGGAGGCCAGGAGAGGGCATCAGATCCCTTGGAGGGGATTGTGATCTGCCAGATGTCTTTGCAAAAGCAGTACATTCTCCTAATTGCTGAGCCATCTCTCCAGGTCTAAATAAATTAATCTTATCTTGCTTACTTATAATATGCAAAAAGCCCCAAGAAGTAAAATGTTGTGTGGCTTGTTTTTGAGACAGGGTCTAGCTATGTGGTTCAGGCTGGCCTGGAATTCACTATATAGCCCACGCTGGTCTGGAATTCAGGGTGATCCTCCTGCCTCAGCTTCTTAAGTACCAGGATCACATGTGTGTGCTACCATTCTGTGCCATTTGAAAATAAGCTTCTCATTCTGGAATAGCCTCACATTTATAGAAAAGCTGCAGCGACAGTTCAGAGAGTTCTTCAGCGCCCTCCCTGTTTCGAGTGGGGCAGATGGTGCCTCCCAGCGCAGAGGCAGCTGTGATTCTGAGGAGAGAGCCCTGCTCCTTCTCCACATAGACCCCAGAGCATCTGATGGGTGATTTGCCACTGCCATCTTTCCACCTCAGTTTCCCACGTGGAAACGAGACCAAAATCACTGCGAGCTAAATCATCCAGAGAGGACATTCAGCTCTTTGAACGCAGGCTCCTCATCAGTGAAATGAAGAGAGCAAAGCCTTTCCTACAAGGTGTGAACGGAAGGGGATTGTTTAGTGCATGGATTCTGCGTGTTCTGCTTTTCCTTTCATTACCCCTGAGCCATGTTTTCCAGGCATCTCCTTATGCTGAGTTTTACTTGGGGTGTAAAAATGCCAGGTCAGATATCTGCATGATCTATGTGGACACTCCAGGAGAACTTGCTCTGAAATGCTTTCAGCTCCTGGCACTGTTGGGGAGAGAGGGAGGGAGGGAGGGAGGAAGGAAGGGAGGGAAGGAGACAGTGAGGGGGGGGAGAAAGGAGAAAGACAAGGGAGGGAGAGAGGAGCGAGAGGGATAGTTTTGGGAGGAGCAGGAGGGAGGGTAGAGGAGAGAAAAGGGGAAGAGGAGAAAAGGAAGTAGGTGAGAACAAGGAGGTGATTGGTGGTCTTCAAGGACCTACAACCTTGAGGCTTTTTGCATCAAGAGAAGCAGAGTGTAGGCTGAATGCTTTATGCTAGGAGTAGTCCCTAGCTCTGTCTGGAAATTTCCAGGAGGCGGCTTCCTCAGTACATATGTCTGAGAAGAGCTGATCTGTTCTAAAAGGAGCAAGTGCGTGGGTTGCTGCGCACGGGTTGCTGCGCACGGCACCGCTGCTCCTCATCACCCTCTCGTCACCCCCACTCCCCCCAGCTCCAGCTCTGCTTCTGCTGCCACCGTTCCTCTTTCCCGGGCTTCCTGGGTGCTTTCCCGCGATGGCAGAGACCACAGGCCACCACTGCAGTGCTGGGGTTCTCAATCCTGTCTACGCTTTACTTTGGAATCTCTTGGGGGAGATTTGAAACCCTTGGGGATTCTGGTTGCTTTGAGACAGGCTGTCACTGTGTACCCCAGGCTGGCCTTGAACTCACCTCGGTCCTTCTTCAGCCTCCCTGGTGCTGGGGTTACAGGCACACTACCATGTCTACCCAGCAGTTCTGGTTTTTTTTTTTTTTTTTGGTAAGAGCTTTCCTGGTGATTCAAAAGTTCAACCAGGATTGAGAACTACTGCTTTCAGCCACAGGCTTCCAGATCACCTCAGAGAGAAGGCAGACATGTCCAGTAGCACAAATGTTCATTGGATGAGTCAACAGAATTGCTCACCAGAGCCCTAGAGACACCTCTGGAAGCCATGGATGATGGAAGATGGAAGATGGAGAGATGGTATAAGTTTTTGGACTGCAGGTCCCATCCTTAGTTCTACTGGAACAGCTCATGTTCATCTGTTATATTTTCTAACTACTTCCAAATAAGACATGTCCTATACTTGGGATCAAATGCCTTCTATAAATCCATATATTAAACACACGTCCTGGGTGGTGTTACTGGAAATGCTGGTGCCTTTAGAGGCCAGGCCTGGGGCGGGGTGGGGGGTGTCTTTATTTAGTCACTGCGATTGAAGGGGGTTGTGTGGCCCTGTCATTTCCTCTGTCTCTTTGGCCTCACCTGGAGGTGATGTAAGCAGATTGTTACATCACACACCTCCTCCATTGTGGCCTGGCACCCCTCCAGAGGCCTGAATGCCACGGGGCTGCCTGACTGTGGATTAGAGCCTCCAAAGCTGTGAGCCAAAACAACACCTTTTGTCATGTTGCTTGTTCTAGGGGTAGCACTGCCCAGCACCCTGCAGAAGCTGATTGCAACACAGTTTGGGAGTTCCATACAAGTGAGTAAGGGACAGTTTTCCTGATATGTTAAAATAGTCAAAGAACTGGGAGAAAAATCCAGCACATACTAATTAACAAGTTAAATTGGAATTTTGTTGGTGCTGTTGTTGCTGCTTGAGAAAGGAGTTCCACGTATAGTCCTGGGTGGGCTGGAACTTGTTTTGTAGACTAGACTGGTCTTGAACTCACAGAGATCTACTCCCCTTTGCCTCCTGAGAACAGGGGTTAAAGGTATTTGCCCCTATGCCTGGCCCACAAGTTGAGTTTTGTAATTTGAGAATAGTTTGGTGGGCTGGAGAGATGGCTCTGGCTAAGAGTGCTTACTCTTCTTCCAGAGGACCTGGGTTTGATTCCCAGAACCCACATAGCAGCTCACAGATATATAAGGAGCCCAGCACCCTCTTCTGGCCCCAAAGCACCAGGTATGTATGTGATATATAGACATACATGCAAGCAAAACACTCATAGACATAAATAAACCTTTTATAAAAGAGAATACTACCAGGTAGTGGTAGTGCACACATTTAATTAAAGAGGTAGAGGCAGACAAATCTCTGAGTTCAAGGCTAACCTGGTCTGCAGAGTGAGTTCCATGATAGCCAGGGCTACACAGACAAACCCTGTCTCCGAACTTGGGAGACTAAGATAGTAGGATTGCTATGAGTCCAGGGCCAACCTGGGCTATATAGGGGAGACTAAGGTAGTAGGATTGCTGTGAGTCCAGGGCCAACCTGGGCTGCATAGTGCCAGCCAGCCCAGGCTTCAGTGTGAGATCCTGTCTCAACAGCACCTACAAAAAAGAGAATGCCTACATACACACAATTATGAATTCAGTGTAACCTGACAGCCATTTCTCCTAGCAGACTGTATTTTTGGAAACATTTTCAATCTACAGATGAATTGCAAAGGCAGTACAGAGGTTTTCCACATATCCTGGCCCTAGTTTTCTCCTATGAGAAAGGATACGCTGGTAACAAGCACATATCAAAATAGATGAACCAATATGGGCACACTAAAGTTTGTAAGCTTAGCATGTTTCTTCGTGTCCTTTTTCACAAACCTATATTATATTTAGTTATCATGTATTCATAGGCTCTTCTTGGTTGTGACAGAGTTTCCCTCTCTTCTCTTTCCCTTCCCACCTCCTCACATACCCCCCCCCCCGTGACAAGGCTTAGCCCTGTTAGTTTAGGTTGGCTTTGAACTTGAGATCTTCCTTCCTCAACCTCCCCAGTGCTGGGGTTGCTACCACCTGGCTCCCTTTCCCTCCTCCACTGCTTTTTCTACTCCCCCCCCACCTCTCCTGAGTCGTTTATGAATGTGTGGTCCTTGGGTGGTTTTCCTTTAGGCTGTGGTGTACTGCTCCTTAATTTTCCTGCCTTAGTTGTTTTCAGCTTGGCCACTGGGAGAGCTGAGGGAGCTCCCGAATTCTGTGAAAGATTACCACCCCCACTTCCTTGATTTCTGGCACTAGAAGATGCCACAGATTCATCTTATGTATTTTCTGTTACAGATATAACCATTTAGAAAGACATTTGAATTTCTTATATACTTCTTAAGTTTAGATTAATGTATCTTTTTCTCAGAATAATTGAAGATTATAAAAAAGATTGGAGAGGTGTGTTAGGCTGCTGGGGTCTATAGTATTGGCCAGCTTAAGAACTTTGTAAGTTTTTGACATTCACTTTCTTGGCCAAAATAAATACAATTTTATATTCAATCTGGCATTCATGACTTGGAATATTCTCTTTAAAAAGTCTGCCCACCTGTGAAAGTGTTGGGCCTTAGCTTTTCTCTTGGTGAGTCCCCAGTGCACTCTGGTTGCCTATGTGACCTGAAATATGAAGTCTAGGTTTTCAGTCGTCCTGGTGAAGCGAGACAAAGATGAAACTGTAGAAAAACAAAACTCAGACCAGCAAGATGGCCCAATGGATAAAGGTGCTTGCTGTCAAGTATGATAACTGGATTTTCAAGCCCCACAGAGTGGAGGAGACAACTAATCCCAGAATCGAGTACCTTTCTGACCTCTATACCTTCTCTGGGGTATGCACGCCCTCCTCCACACTTGAACACACACACACAAGAAAGAAAGAAAGAAAGAAAGAAAGAAAGAAAGAAAGAAAGAAAGAAAGGAAGAGCCAGGTGGTGGTGACATGCACCTCTAATCCCAGCACTTGGGAGGGGAGACAGGAGGATCTCTATGAGTTTGAGGCCAGCCTGGTTTGCAAAGGGAGTTCCAAGACAGCCAGAGCTACACAGAGAAACCCTGTCTCAAAAAACCAAAATCAAACAAACAGAAATTATGTGTATGAGTATTTGCCTGCATGTATGCCTATATATCATGTGTGTGCCTCGTGCCTTCAGAGTCCAAAAGAGTGTATTAGATTCCCTGGAATTGGAGGTACAATTAACTTTAAAACACCATGTGGGTGCTGGGAACCAAAACCAGGTCCTTTGCAAGAGCAGCCAGTGCTCTTAACAGCTGAGCCGTCTCCCCGGCCCCATCAGTTTTTTTTTTTAATATAGTATGTCACTAAGCACATGTTGTTGGCACTGTTTTCAGTGTGTGTTCTGTAAGAGCAGCCTACATGATTTTCATCTTCTTGAGCACAGCTGGACATAAAGCAAAAACAAAGTCTCTAACTCCAAGAAGCCTATAGTGAGGAGAGGCATGAGGTAGGACAGCTTATGGGTGATTACAAGCAGACCTTGACAGGATTCCAGGTCACACTCCAGAAGCATCTGATTGTATTCTGGGGCATCAGGAAGCCACCACAGAGCAGAGGTTATTTGCATTAGGTTCTGACACATGAGTGATGTTTGTAATACAGAGAAAAGGAAAAAGGTTGTTGTGATGTTGCCGTACTTACTCATCAGGACCACCAGTCTGCAAATAATAACATGGAGACTTATTATTAATTATAAAAGATTGGCCTTAGTTTAGGCTTGTTACCAACTTAAATTAACCCATATTTTTAAATCTACGTTTGTTGTGGGATATTTTGATCACATTCAGATGACTAATTACTAACTAACCCACATTTCTGAATTATCTTAAACAGTTTGTAATGATAGACTTTTGGGACTAGAACTTTACATACGTTCTTCCACGTGGCTCTGTTATCTCATCTCCATACTGCCCATCCTGCAATGACTCCACCTTTCTTCTTCCCAGAGTTCTTTCTGCCTGGAAGTCCTGCCTAGTCTCTCCTGCCTAGCGATTGGCCATTTAGCTCTTTATTAAACCAGTGAGAGGTGCCTTAGGCAGAGAAACAGCTTTACAGTGTAAACAAATATTCTGCAACATTGTGGCCTGCGGAGTAGAATGGGCTGAATGAGGCAGGCTTAGGGTTGTAAAACCCTAGGGAGGTCAGTGAGGTCAAAATGTAACAGGCTTATTTCAATGTCCTTTCCTAGATTAACACTTCCTGTGTCAGATTCCTGTCCGCACTCTAACCTCTGTACAGTTTTTAGCAAGTGGTAGGTTAAGGAGACCCCACACAGCAGGGTTCCCTCCCAGATCCTGCAGTAGGCACAAGCCACACCCCAACACGTCTTTTCACAGACAGATCCTTTATTAAGCTTCGAAGAAAAGTTAAAGTGGCTGCTTTCTGACTCGCAGGTGTAATTTTTAAGAAGAGAAAAAAAAAAGGGGGAGGTCTGTGTTACAATGGCCTCAGATGCCATGGCAGATTTTGATTGGGCGGTAATTAGGTGAACTCAAAGGGATTTTTGATTGCTGGACTTTAATACTCTGATGGCTGGACCTTGGTAGTCAGCCTCAGGAGGAGGAAGTGGCCAAATAAGGGAATAGACCTTGGTGGCTAGCTTTAGGAATGTAATCTAATGGGTTTTAGCAAGGCAGAGGGAGTGGGAGAGTCATGCTCACCATGCTTGAGCCAGCCAGAGGACCTTTAGTAGAGCTTAAGAGCATTTGTTGAGTGAGTGTAAGAAACACACACCCTTATTCTAAACTGACTTCTTTAAGTTGTAGGATTTTTTTGTTTTGTTTTGTTTTGTTTTGTTTTTGAGACAGGGTTTCTCTTTGTAGCTTTGTAGACCAGGTTGGCCTTGAACTCACAGAGATCTGCCTGCCTCTTCCTCCCGAGTGCTGGGACTAAAGGCATGCGCCACTACTGCCTAAATTGTAGGACTTTGTAAAGATACAATTTTATTTCTGTGTTTGTGAGTATGTCTCTATGTGCGTATGCCAACTGGGGCACACTATCTATGTGCAGATGCCATTGAATGCCAAGAGAGAGTGTCGGGTCTCCTAGAGCTAGCTGCCAGTCACCCAACAAGGAAGCTGAGATCTGAACCCAGCTTCTTCTTTTTCTTCTTCTTTTAGATTTATGTAGGCCAGAAGAAGGTACCACAGCTCATTATAGATGGTTGTGAGTCGCCATGTGGTTGCTGGGAATTGAACTCAGGACTTCTGGAAGAACAGCCAGTGCTTTTAACCCCTGAGCCATCTCTCCAGCCCTGAACATAGGTTCTTTAGAAGAGCTCTTACCTACTAAGCCATCTCTCAAGCTCCAAATTATGTGAATATTTGGACAAGGAAACGGCCTCATCAGATTGCATGTGATATTAAAAATCTCCAGAGAACTTAAGTATCCAGCAGAAGTAGCATAACTAAAAAAAAAGCATTGCATGCTTCCTTCTAAAACTAGATTCTATGTACTACTAATAATGATAAAGATTATTGTTATGAATTTAAAAAAGACTATATTATGGTATGAGATGAGGAAATTATAAGAATAATTATGTAAAATATGAACCATTTATAAATTGCACATATATACATATGAAATATCTGGAGAGATTTTTATAAATAAGTTAGGAATTACTTCAATTTTATCATTTTTGGTTATTTACTTTTCTTAATTTCTCCATCTATGCACAACAATAGAAATGTTCTTAGAAAACAAAAATTTGTGTAAAGGTATTTACTGAAAAACCAAGTAACCAAATAGAGTTCACTATCAGAACACAAGCACCCCCTTGGTGTGTGTGTGTGTGTGTGTGTGTGTGTGTGTGTGTGTGTGTGTGTATGTATACAGTCATGAGCATATGACACAGTTGTATAGATATTTTAGTACTTTATTGCCTTATATCAAGTGATTGTTCCCTAACCTGTCATTTAATTTTCATGGCAGCTATGGGACATAAGAGTGAGTGAAAAGCCTCTAAGTGTTGGGATTTATGGTTCAGAACTCAAGTTCACAAGGCTGGTGTCTGGCTAAGCCTGAAGTCATCCAAGGCCTGTGCTCTTCAAGGATGAAAATATTTTTCTTTCCTATCCCAGAGATTATCCTGAAGGAGGCAGAGAGCCATAGTAATATTTCAGGGTTTTTGCCTGTCATCATAGCATTGGAAAATTATAGCATAAATGTCTACACAAATCCCTGAGTTAAAAAAAATCATGGGGCTGGAGAGATGGCTCAGTGGTTAAGAGCACTGGCTGTTCTTCCAGAGGACCCAGGTTCAATTCCCAGTACCCACATGGCAGCTCACATCTGTCTATAACTACAGTCAAGGGATCTATCTAACAACTTCACACCAATGCACATAGAATGAATTTAAACAAACTATTTGAAAAAAATCATGGTACAAAATTCTGATCTCATGTCACAGAAATAAGTCTGGTCAGTAAAAATTCATTGTCCACGTAAGCACATGAAAAAATGAATGCCTAGGATTCATTGTCAAGTGCACAAAGTCACTCTTTGCAGGAAAGTGTGAAACAAGATTCCATGTTTGTTAGAAGCTCATGGGCCAACGAGTCTGGAGTACACAGTGATGCAGAGACAACAGGAGGATGCTACCTTAAAACAAGGCAGAAACATGACATTGACTTCCGAGAGCTGTCCCCTAACCACCACGGCAGGAACATGCTTAAACCACCATGCGTGTATGTACACACTCAAGCACAGACACACACACAAAGTTAATAGTTTCTTTTAAAGTTCATTTCTTTCTTTTTCTTTTTATTCATTTATTTTCATTTTGTGTGCATTGATGTTTTGCCTGCATGTACATCTGTTTGAGGGTGCCAGATCCTTTGGAACTGGAATTACAGTCAGTTGTGAGCTGACATGTGGGTGCTGGGAATTGAACCTGGGTCATCTGAATCAGCAGTCAGTGCTCTTAACCACTGAGCCATCTCTCTAGTCCATAGGTTTTGTTTTTGTTTTTAAAGAGAACAATTTTGGGGCTGGAGAAGGCTAACAGTGGAGAGATCTTGCTACCCCTGCAGAGAAGCCCAGCTGTTCTCTGCACTCATGTTGGGTGGCTCTCACCCATCTGTGACCTGAGCTCCAGGAGATCTGTCTCTACTGACACCTGCACTCTCGAGTACACACCCATCTGCGGGAACATAAACACACATATAATTAAAAATCTGGATGTGGTTGTGCACGCCTTTAACCCCAGCATGCAGGAGGCAGAGGAAGGTGGACTTGTGAGTTCAAGACCAGTCCCATAAACAGTGATTTCCAGGACAGCCAGTACTATACAATGAGACCATGCCTCAAAACAAAACAACAAAATAACAAAGGTAAAGCTATTATTATATTGTTGTTATTACTACTGTTACTATAATATTTGAGACAGGGCCTTACTATGTAGCCCTGGCTGGCTTGGAACTCACTCTGCAGACCAGGCTGGCCTCAGATTCAGAGATCTGCCCGCCTCTGTCTCCCAAGTGCTGGAAGTAAGGGCATATGCCACCAGGACTGGCTAAAAATGTTTTTAAAGAAAGAATTTGTGTTTGTGCTTGCATTTGTGTGAGGAAATATTATGGAGGCACAACTAAAAAATGTTCCCTTCTCAAAAAGTGGTTTTTTACATCATTTTTATTTCGAAGCATTCACAAAAACCCAAGTTAAGCCAGGCATCCCTGTAATTTGAGAGCTTGGAAGACTAGAACAGAGAATTGAGAGTTTAAAGCTAGCCAGGGACCCTAGGATGAAACTGTCTTAAACAAACAAATATCTAAGATTGGTTTTAACCCTGAAATTAAAACACTTTAAAATGCAATAAATACAACAAAATGCTCATTTTTCATAGCAGAGAATCAGGAATATGTATTCCCTTCTCTTTGGTACATCTGTATTTTTCTCAGTGTTTTACATGTGTGAGAAGGGAGTTATTTTGAAACAACTTTCAAACTTACTAAAGTCTTTCTCCTTCTATTTGGAGACAGGAGTTGATTAAGATTTCTGAAGGGTTCCAGAACATCTTGTGGGCTCCTTAAAAAGAAGCCCGATTTTCACCTGAAAACTGTTAACTACTGCTACCTGGCAGGCTGCAGGGATGCATTCTGGACCTGGTTTCCATTCCCAGAATTCCCTCTGGAATTACAGCCAGGACATCGCTCCACTCAAAGGTGAAATCAGGTTTCCCATTTCAGGGACTGTCCTCCTCTGCCCCAGGCAGACCCAGATAATGATTAAAAACAACCCAGGACACCTACCTTAAAGGAAATCGAAGGATTTCAAAGCTAAAGTCCAGAGACATTTTCTGGGCCTTTAGCTCTCGAGTGGCTGTGAATGTAATGTATTTTTAACTCAATTCAAGCGCTTCTCCCTCAGGAGATGCTCCCCCGGTTTCTCGGCCGAGTTGCCTTGCATGGTATCCGTGAAGTTTGGCTGGGTGTTTGTTGACACATTTTTCTGGGCACGGCTATTTGAGAAACGCTGACATTTGCCTAACTTCCTCTCCAGGCAGAAGTTGGGTTTGTCTCCCAGGCCCTGCTGGGGCTCCAGTCTCATTCTTGGAAGGGAAGAATCTGTTTTCATCTTCACAAGCGCGTTCCAGTTTCTAGTCTCCTTCCTTTATTTTCCTCTCCTGATTTGCCTCAGCCTGGACGCTTCCAACCACGCTGTCTCTCTAGGCACCGACTTTTCTGATCTCTCATCTGAAGGACCACAGGGATGTTTTCAGTTTTGAATCAGGAATCATCTTTGTCACATGATCACCGAACTGCTTCTTCTCCATTTCCCCCCCTATATGTAACTTTTCTATCCATTAAAGAGGAAAGCAATTTTGAATACTAAGAAAGCAAAAAAAAATGTACTTGATTGTATAAAATGTAAGTCTTGCCACAGTATTTGATACTGCAGGACACACAACAATTCCAACTTTTTAAAATTTGATCGATATTTTGGTTTTGCAATTACCAACTGTTATTTACTGTTGGAGAACAGATCACAAGATATACAACAAAACCCACTTTAAGAGTTTTATTAGTAAAGCGTGGGGAAAGGGGAGAGGGGATGTGCGCAAGCCTGTCTGGAAGAGAGGAAGTGGGGTGGGCGTGTCTGCTTTTAAAGATCTCTTAGCTCATGCGTATAGGGCCTTACATAGCCACGCCACACATACGCATAGATTACGTGGCCACGCTGTGCATTCACATAAGGCTGTGGGATGAACAGGCATTTTGCCTGAATCCTGGTGGCCACATGCACAGCCGTGGGACCCCGGAAATGATGGAAGCGACAACACCAACACAACACTCAACAGGGGTGCCTACAACCTCTCAAGTCTTTGTTGTGTGGGCCTCCTTGAGGCCCTATCGTTCACTCTTTAGTTAGTTTTCATCTGAGGAGAAGAATTGCTGGGAGGAAGGAGGATAAGGAGGAAAGTAGGCTAGCCAGACAGAGCAGGACCAAGACAAGCATTTGCCCTAGGGGCAGCAGATGGTCGAGGACGAACATGGTGCATGGCTTTAAAAGGCAATGATTTGTCCTAGCTCTATACATCACTTACTAACTAGGAAGTCTGGGAAGGCTCAATTTGTGAAGCTGGAGCTGTTGTAACTGCTCCTTGGGGCACATGGGAAGGCTGAATGAAATGGTGTAAATGAAAACTCTGTAACCCAGGTTTCCCAAAAAGAACCTAATTATTATTGTTGGTTTTTGTTGTTGTTGTTTTGTTTGTTTGTTCTTTGTTTTGTTTTATACTCTTTTGGGGACCCTGCCACCCAGCTCCCAAATAAACCACACAGAGGCTTATTCTGTTTTATGAATGCCAGGACTTGGTTGGTTTGTTTCTTGACAGCTTTTCTTAACTAAAATTACCCTGTCTACCTTTTGCCTCTTGGCTTTTACCTATCTCTATTTCTGCATATCTTTTCTTTTCTTCTTATTCAGTGTCTGGCTGTGTGGCTGCTCCCAAGTCACAGAATTGTCACCCACATTTAGAGGGCCTGGTTTGGGCCTATACGGGTTCCACAGCTATCAGTTCAGAGGCAGTGAGCTCCACTAGCTTGGGTCAGTTGTCTCTGAGAGTTTCCCCATCAAGATCTTGACCCCTTTGTTCACATAATCTCTCTCCTTTTCTTCAACTGGACTCTGGGAGCTCTGCCCAGTGCTTAGCTATGTATCTCTGCATCTGCTTCCATTTGTTACTGGATGAAGGTTCTATGATGACAATTAGGGCAGTTATTAATCTGATTAAAGGGGAAGGTCCATTCAGACACCCTTTCCACTATTGCCAGTAGTCTTAGCTGGGGTCATCCTTGAGGATTCCTGGAAATTTACCTAGCACCATATTTCTTCCTAACCCCATAATGGCTCCCTCTATCAAGATTTCTCTTTCCTTGCTATCCCTCTCTGTCCCTTCCCAAATTCAACCACCCCATTCTCCTCCTCTCCCCCCATCTCTCTCACATACATACACACCACACTCCATACCCCACTCTCAATTTACTCAGGAGATCTTATCTATTTTCCCTTCCTGGGGGCATCCACGCATGTCTCTCTTAGCGTCCTCCTTGGTACCTTGCTTCTCAGGGCTTGTGAACTGTAGCCTGGTTATCATTTTCTTTATGTCTAATGAGTGAGTACATACCGAGTTTGTCTTTCTGGATGTGGATTACCTCACCAAGGATGACTTTTTCTAGTTCTGTTCATTTGCCTGTAAATTTCAAGATGACATTGTTTATTACTGGTGAGTAATTTTACTCCATTGTGTACACGTACCACATTTTCCTTATCCGTTCTTTGGTTGAGGGGCATCTAGGTTGTTTCCAGGTTCTGGCTATTACAAATAATGCTGCTATGGACATAGGTGTGAGTGTGCATCCTTTGGGTATATGCCCAAAAGTGGTATTGCCCAATTTTCTGAGAAACCACCATATTGATTTCCAAAGTGGATGTACAAGTTTGCCTTCCCACCAGCAACGGAGGAATGTTCCCCTTCCTCCACATCTTCTCCAGCATAAGCTGTTGTCAGAGTTTTTCATCTTGACCATTCTGACAGGTGTAAGGTAGTATCTCAGAGTTGTTTTGATTTGCATTCCACTGATGACTAAGGATGTTGAGTATTTCCTCAAGTGTTTTTTCTTTTTCCCCCTCTCTCCCTCCCTTCATCCTTCCCTCAATTTGAACATACCTGATGTTTCCTCATCACTGGAATATAATTCAGCTTCTTTTCAGGAGACTCAGGGAACCACACTGTGTTTGCCTTAGTGCTTTGTGTCAGGAAGCATGAGCCATTCATTCATCCTACTTACTGTTAGGGATATGGATTGATTACACCCTCCCCCCATTCATGTAGACATCCTAACCATCTGTGGTGGTTTGAGTGAAAATGGCACCCATAAGCTCACAGGGAAGAAATAGCACTATTAGGAGGTGTGGCCTTGTTAGAGTAGGTGTGGTCTTATTGGAAGAAGTGTGTGATTAGGAGTGGGCTTTGAAGCTTTAAATGCTCAAGCCAGGCCAAATATCTATCTCTCTCTTGCTGGTGCCTTCCAGATGTAGAACTCTCAGCTACTCACCAGCACCATGTCTTCCTGACATGATGACAATGGACTAGACCTCTGAACTGTAAATCAGCCCCAGTTAAGTGTTTTCCTTTACAAAAGTTGCCATGATCATGGTGTCTCTTCACAGCAGTTGAAACCTTAACTAAGACACCATCTGTGGTATTATGAGGTAGGGTTTGGGAGGTGATTAGCTCATGAGAATGGAACCTTTCTGACTAGGACTATGTCCTTGTATAGGAGGCTTTAGAATTTAGAGTTCTTTTACCCTTTGTCTGCTTCAGGACAACGCAGGAAGAAGCCTGCAGAACCCCACCATGCTGTACTCTGATCTCATATAGTTAAACAAATTTCTTCTGTCCATCAGCTACCCAGGCTGTATGTAATGTGTTGCTATAGCAGTCTGAGTTAAAGCAACCATCGATCTTATATTGAGTACTTATGGATGGCTGGTTTTCTTGGTGCAAAGATACTCCTGTGTCCATCATAATTGATGAGTATGCTTGGAGAGTTATTCTGAGACCTTAAAAGATATCTTTTCAGCCCTCAAACTTTTCACTCAGTGTCTATTGATGATTCTTAGCTTGGGTTAATTCTATTGTAATAGTGACTTTAAATCTTCATCCACTCTATGTTTATTAGTGATCTATCTGTCTGTCTGTCTGTCTGTCTGCCTGCCTGCCTGCCTGCCTGCCTGCCTATCTATCTATCTATCTATCTATCTATCTATCTATCTATCTATCTATCTATCATCTACCTATCTATTAAGACAGGGTTTCTCTGAGTAGCCCTTGCTGTCCTAGAATTCACTCTGTAGACCAGACTGGCCTCAAATTCTGAGATCTACCTGCCTGGCTTATTAGTGATTTATTTACAAACACTTTAAAATATTTATTTTATCGGCATGAGTGTTTTGCCTGCATGTATGTGTGTGTGCCACGTGCTTGCCAGGTGACTGGAGAGGTCAGAAGAGGATGTCTGTCCCCTGGAACTGGAGCTACAGACAGTTGCAAGTCACCATGTGGGTGCTGGGAATAGAACGTGGGTCTCTGGAAAGAGCAGCCAGTGCTCTCAACTGCATAGCATTAGTGACTTAAATATTTGTTCTCTAAATCTTATTAAATGATTCCTTAGCAGCTATACAAGTGATATTATTTCCCACTGATTTACTTATCTCCCACTGATTTACTTATTTCCCACTGGTTTACTTATTTCCCACTGATGTACTTATTTCCCACTGGTTTACTTATTCACTTTAGGTTGGCATATGAAGGCGTAGGCTTGGTCACGGCATCTCATACACACAGGTCATTGTTCTTCATTCTAACTTGGTCTCACCCACACCCTTCTCCCCATCCCAATAATTCCCTTTTTCTATTTAGACCCCTCTTTTTGTTTTCCAGTTATATATATTTTATTGTCATATTTCCCACCTTCCCTCTCATGATCACCTTTCTAGTTTTGTGACCTACAAACACCTATGTGCACATATAATCTGAAGTTTAGGTATTCCATATGAGGAAAAATATGGTATTTGTATTTCTGAGACTGATTTATTTCACTGAACTTAAGATTTTGAACTGTGTCTATTTTCCTGAAAATGTCATGATTTTATTTTTATCTAGGGCTACAAACTTGTTTTTCTTCTTTCTTTATTACTGGTATGTAAATTAAGATACAGAATGAATTTGATGTAAAGACACTGTGGATGTCTGACTTCACATTTATCCCATAATCTTGGTCTTTTAAATGACTTAAGTGATATTTAGGCACCTTAATGAAGCAATCCATTATAGTAGACATCTGTTGATTTTGCCTCTTGCTCCCATCCCTTCCATTCAGTCCATTTTGTCCTTAAATAGATCTTTCTGCATCAGCCTCCTAAACGCTGGCATTATAGGTGTGTGCCACTACACCCAGCATGTCTCTCTTTCATTAGTAACATCCCTTCTTTTTCATTGGAGACTACTACTGAGCTCATAGAGTTCATTTGGAATTTATCCTACTTCTGTTTCAGGACCAGGCAAATAAATCAACCCTGGCATCATTTCCCTAACCACAGTGATTGGTTTAGGGGTGAGCTCTAAGTCAAGTTAAGCCAGTCAGAGTCAAGACACTGAGCTCTAACACCTCTGCTGTCATATCTGTGGGATTTGGAGTTGTGAAAATGTGAACCCACGCTTTCTGGACCCCCTGCTGTGGACAGCTCAGGCAGAAAGCAGCACCCTGAGAAGCAGACACATCCCTGATAGAGGTACAAGTCCTGGTAGTTACCCTAGACTCTGGTGCTGAGGCTGGCCATCTTCTCCCAGAAGACTAAAAAACAGAACCATGTCCCCACAAGCCTCAAGACAATATTTGAAATAATAATTTTGTTATAGGTAGCATTCTGATGTGAGTTTGTCCCTGTAGTACCAGCTATCAACACTGTTGCCCAGCAGTGTAATGAGCACTTATTGAGGCAGGATATATCAGAGGCT